AGTGATGATAGCGCAGCTAAAAGCTGATCTCGAGAACAACCAATGAAGTTTTGCTTCAAAAATACTGGGAATCCGCGGTAATGATCGCCCAGTGTATATAAGGGTACCCTAACTGTACCAAGCACCTATGAAAATATTTAAAATTATTTAGTTTTTTTTTTTTCATTAATAAAATAATATCATAATTACTTCGTTTCCATAATCTTCTGCAAGTAAAGCTTGTCTTTCAATTTCAATCAAATCAGTTATATTAACTTTTAATTTGTAAAAGTGTAGAGCTAGATTTCTTTTCTCACTCCAATGAGATATTACATGATCATCACAATTGACAAAATGTTTAGAGGTATCCAAATTCATTTCTTCTGCCATTTCTCTGTTAACAGCAGTTACAAAATCTTCGCCAGCATCAACTAATCCACCAGGAAATCCAAAATAACCATCATATCTTAATTGCATCTAACATTAACCAAAAGCAATTATAATCTTGATTTTCTTAGTTTTTCAWTAACTTACAAGAATTGCAGCACGAGGATTGTAAATATCAAATACTCTTTCATTGTTCTCTGCATATATTAAACAGTGAGCAGCATGAGTTGAGCCTGTATATTTTTCACTGTGTATTTCAGATTTAGGGATAACTATAAACTCATTGGGTTCAGGAAGTCTTCCAAATGCTTCAGTACTACCCAACCATCCCCATGTTCGATCACCAGTGGTAGTCATCGCTAAAATTTAAAAGAAAAGCAAACAGTTGAATATAAATAATTGCTTCAACAATTAGATTAATCCACAATTAAAGTATTTTTTATCTAATCTAATCAACAATACAATGTCATTTAGCAACCACTTACATCATACAAAGAAATTATAAACATGTTAATATGATTGGTCTTTGATACAAATTTCACATAACCTATTAATATAAGCCAAATATCAATCTCTCATTATCGCTAAATCTCAAAAATTATAAAATGTACAAATTTGGAAATATAGTTCTTATAATAATCTTGATGTGCAATAAGAAATGATGAAAGGTGTGGTTAAGTAGTGATCTTAAAGTACACGGCAGATATTGTAATTTTTTTTGAATGTAAATGGTTGCCATTGGTTACTCTGACAAATCAGGTACAAACACATTAAATTGTAAAGCTTATGCCCTCAAATAAATGTCAAATATATGTGGTGTTACTTGTGAAATCAAAAACTACTCAATTAAATTTTAAGAAAATCTCAGGGATTTCTTTTAAAGATGACAGAAAAGTTTTAACTATGTTAAAAAATATACCAAATACTAAATCCAATCCGCAATTTGCGGTTTCTCTTCTAGGTCAAAAATTATGTCAAAATACAAAGCTAGGTTCAATGAAGCTGATTAGGCTATATAATAAACACAAACTGATATATACCTTTATACTACTATATGTACTATATGGGATTAGAAAAAAAATCAACTAAGCACAGACGAAGCTAACATAATTTAAAAATATAGTTGTTAATTGTTAGATAGGCATAATTATTATACCWTAGAAAATACTCATTAGAAATATTTATAAAGAAGAAATTCCCAAAGTAAAAAATGATAAATTATATTTTTTAAATGTCCTATTGTATTATATGTATATGTGTTAATGATTATTTTATTCGGTAAATACATATATTTTTAAATGTACCTGAATTTTCTTCTGAGTATAAAGATTTGATTAGACAACAACTATCTGGAGGTCCTGAGTAATCTAAATAATACAAAAAAAAAAAAACTTAAATTAACTGCTAAGGATTAAAAATTAAATCAATAATCGGATAAAAATTATTATATAATTGATACATTGAAATGTATTTAACTTAGAAAATAAATGAATACAAACATCTTAGTAATAATTATTTTATTCCCTGTAATTAAGCAACCACTTATTATTCAAAGCTATAACGGTTCAAATTTTAAATAATATTTGGTAATGTGAATTCAGTAATATATGCTTACCAATCAAATTTACGGATGGAATGGCATAGGGTTTTAACTGAATAGAATTCTCATGGAAACAATTTTCATGAAAATGGCTTTTACATATAGTTATAGTTAAATATAATTCCGTGTCATACATTGTACTTAATCCAGTTCTTTCTGCCCATAAATCCAATAAACGTTTATCGCCAAATGGAAAATTATACAGTGGTAATCCTTTTGGTGTTTTACAGTTAGGAACAAAGCAAATTCCATCGTCATCATCTCTATAAAAGATATTTCTGTCAATGAGTATTCCAAAATCAAAGTAAAAAAAAACTTATGTTACAATATATCTTCACAATTGAAGATCCACAAAAAAAATAACGATCTACTWTATAAGCAATTTATAAAAGTGACTTCTTATTGTAAGAAGTACTTATTAAAAATGTACTTTTCTGAAATGGATAATTTATTATTTATACTATAATTTATTATATTGAGGCATGAATAAGCATTGACAATTACCATCTGAACATTTCTCACTCAGATTATTTTTAATCAAAAGATTAGTATGATTTTGATAATAAATTAACTTTTAAATTTGGTTATGAAGGTGAGTACAGAAAACATAAGAAAATAATTAATAGTATGAATACACCTACAATATTTTAGAGAAATCAGGATATGTTCGATTATATTTTAAAATTAGGTGGTTAGATGAAAACAAGTAACAAGATATTTTAGATAAAAGTGAAGCAAATACTGATTTAATCACTTTATGAAGTGTTTTTAAAAGGTTTAAGTCTTATTTTTAATTGTATTTTATTTTCAATTGATATTGCATCGCATTATATAGACTGAGTGTAGCTACAAAGTAATTTTGAAATAAGTACATGTTTAAAATTAGTAATTACTGTGAATATGAAAAATATACATTAAGTTGTTTTTAACTAATATAATCAGCATGTTACCATATAACACATATATAGTACACAACACATTAATTAAAACTTAGTTGGTTATTAAGATACTATTTTTTTAACAATAAATATTGTATTTGGTAGGTAATAGGTCTTACCTTCCAAGTGAATTGAGTGACAAATGTTCAGGTGACAATAAATGTTGAACCGTCTCCATATCGATAATAAGTCTTTATATTTATAAGAATTGTTTTATTAAATCATGAAATCAATTCAAAGCTTACTCAAGATTTTTCGAAATTGAATCATTATCTTTATCATCATTTTTCCATTTCAAATTATATTGCATAAAAATATTTTTTACTAACATACATTCATCTGTATTCATTATAGATAAATTAATATTTAATATTACCTTGTTCTTATCTAAAGTAACAAAAAATACACAATATATACAAATACAATTTACGTAATAGTAAGAAAAAAACATACATGCAAATTGTATGAGAAAAATTTTTTTTTTTTTTCCCCAATTGCTTGATGTTTGATGATTTTCTTCTGAAACAATTATTTTTAATTTGTATTATCTTAGTTATACTAAAACGTTAAATATACAAATGTATTCAGACATTGAAAAGTAATTCTAACCATTTATTAAATATATGATTTTGTATTAATACAACATAAATGATTAGAATAATATAAATATAATAGAATTTTTTAATTTTTAATTTTAACTTACTTATTAGTAGAAGAATATGTCTTATGTTTTGGATGTGAATTATCTGCTAAAAATGAAGGAATTGCAGTACATTTCAAATCTGTTAATAAATCTCCAGATGGTGACTTTTTGTAATCATTTTCTTTAAAATGACCACTACAAATATTGTAATACTTAGTTGGGGTCCAGTCATCTATTTTTAATGCTTTCAACCATTTCTCAAGTAATTCTTTATCATGCAAAGGAAGTCTGAAACATAAGATTAACATTATGACATTTTTCACTCGAAATAATAGCTGTAATACATTTTGTAAACAATACCAAATACAGCATTGCACAATTTCTTGGTTTTAGGCAAACAATAAAAAAAATAAAAAATGCCTTAAATGTTATTTGATAATTAATAAAAATGTATGTTCAAAAACAATATAAACATTTTGTGTACTATATAATTTGAGTAATGGGTTTTTCCATGTATAACGTATTAATAAGACAAGATAATGATTAAACAGTTATGATTTTAAAATCTTCTTTTGAATTTGCATGTCTTTTAGTCTGTTGTTAGATTTTATAGTTAAAACGACGTGTTATAGAACATCTCAAAGTGTCAATGATTAATATTTAAAAGTCTTACCGATGAAATATAATTCCATTTCCTTTTATTGACTTGTTCACACAGTTTTGAACAGCACAGCTTAACACCATATTATATGAAGACTAACAAGTTTTTGAATGTCTACGTATATAACTAGAGGAGTAGTAATATTAACGGTAGAAGAGCAGATACTGGAGAGTAGAGATCACATTATTATTACGACATACTAAAGTAATATCGTACTAGTAGGTAGTAGACACTGTCCAGTCACTGGTCAGTACAACTGTCCAACAGCCAACAATCAACATTAGTCAGTAAATACTCAGTAATTGATCTCATTTCAAATACTTCATTATCAATATAAGATACGACGGATATAATTTTTGGACCAAGGTAGTAATCATAGACCTTATTACAATGACGTCTAAGGTTGTAAACATTCACCCAGCTAGCTACTAGCATTCAGTGGTTCCCAAACTTTCTCAGCCTCGGCGCCTTTTTTTAAGTGTAGAAGTTCTCGTAAAGCCCTCCAGAAATATTTAACGTAATTTTTATCAGCCGGTGTTCAGKACGTGTTCTATCCTCTATGAAGTATTATAAACAAGAATTGTATACGTACGGGAGTCAAAATAAAATTGTATATATGAATGAATTTATGAATGTGAAACAATGAACTGAAAAAAATATTATTTAAAATTTTCTCATCGAGATTTTACGCAATATACACATCGGTGAGTTATGGAAATGGCATTTCATTTTAAGTAACGAACAATTTTTAAATTTTTTGAGGTGGTTCGAACGGAGTCCTCGGTAAACCATTGCGGATCCGGAACACAGTTCCGGGAACTCGTCGATTTTTCACATCCCCCACGACACGCTGCTATCGAGACTTATTCCGCTATGGCTGGGTGTCCGTGGGGATGCGTAGAAAACTAGAAAAACCAAAGTTTAGTCGGCACGCCGAGCGTTCTCTCGCTGGAGGACAGAGTATGCTTGCCTGCCATGTGTTCCTGTCCCAAATAAGACGCCCACTCGGCACATTCTAACCGGCGATGAAAAAAAACGCTCCGGCAAATCGGAATGTCTGCAGTTAGCACAATATCGTTRAATATATTACTTTGGTTATTACGGTTCAATATCGTTATCATTGATGCGCATTAAATGTTTAATTCTAAGGTTTAGCCCACGGTTTAAGATATATATATCTTAAATATATATATATATATCTAAAAATATAAATATATAAAAATATATATATATATAAATATATACATCTTATATATCTTAAACCGTGGTTTAGCCTAACGAATTTCAACTCTTAGTTATACAGTTAATATTACATGTGGTCGATCATGGTTTGATAGAATAACAAAGATGGAATTAAAAGGACCAATTAAAGACACCACACACGATCAATCTAATGAATAATCATTCATCAATTAACTAATATCAATATGATTTTGATATTTTAAATGTAATGAACACACATTTGCCACATTTTCTCGGTATGATATAGATTAAGTTCTTATCAGTTACTTACGTTTTATACATTCAGAAATGCTATTAATGCTAACTCTATAGAGTTTTTGTCTTGTAGATATTGGATGGTTGAAATATAATAAAGTGCATAATCTAAATACACAGTGTCTTAGATTTGTTATTTCAGCTAACACCACATATTTAGTTAATTACTGAGCTGTTTTCAACACTAGATCTGTGCGTATATAATATACCCTTACGAGTATGATAAAACCATAAAAGTGACATATTTTGAGTACAAATAAATATTAAATATACATTGCATTCCTCATATTATATTGTATGAGAGGATTATAAAGGTTTTGAAAAGCTAAGCTTCTCAAGCCCTATTCACACCAACTAAATATTACATGTAAAATAATAAAACAACAATCTTATTGAAATACTAAATGTTATTTATTGATTCGTCAACTAATTCTTAGTTATACTRTGACTTAGAAAAAAAAGTAAATTAACATATTTAACAGAAAAATTTAAATGTAAAAATCCACGGTTAACATATTCTTGTATGACTGGTAAATATTTTCTACGTTTAAATTTTTTTAAACAAGATTATTATTGTCAATAAATATTCTTAATACATTGCTTTTGATTGGTATACTTCTTTAAAACCAATGTTAATCMTAAAATTAAAATGTAAATATCCTTTGTTGTAATAATAATAAAAAAAAAATAGAATTGAAGTCCTAAAATAATTAACAGTGCAACATGCACAAAAGTAAAAAATTAACGTAAATAAATAATAATATACATTATGTTCTACTAGAACGTCTTAAATTAGAAGATGGAATTATTGGATCAGTTTTATAAACAAGAGCTTCCATATATGCTTTACGCACAGATTTGCGATCTGCTGGTTTTTTTGATTCTGTTAGCTTAATATCATCCAGTTCTTGAGTAACGCCAAGGGGCTCCAGTTTGTTACGAGGTAACCATTGCCTAGTACAGTATATTATATTTAATTTTAGACTTGTATAAAAGTTAACAGGTAACAATAACAATAGTATAAGCATAATATAATATATACTTATGTACCTATCAACTATCATAATCTGACTTACCATGTACGCTTGGAATCAAAAAACAATACTAAGTACACAAGCTCTTTGTAATTACTTGCTAAATTTAATACTTCTGACGGAGGACTTGGAACAGGAATACCATTATGCAAGTGTCCCGGTGGCATATTTGGGTCAATTATCTAAAAAAAATATGATATAATTATTATTAAATATGATAAAATTTTGCATTTCATTAAATATTACCAAAGCAGGATACCATGGATATCCTCTACACTTAGCCCAGACCAATTGTAATTGTGCAAATTCATCTTTTTTTCCTCTTTTCTTTTGTTCCTTTTCTGATTCTGAATCTGATGAACTTCCAGATGAGCTACTGCCATCAGTAGAAGATCCACTTCCAGTAGTAGTAGTAGTAGAATTTGAACCAGATTCAGAACCTAAATAGCTAGATTCCTCATCTGAGGGAGAATCGTCCTCTGTATCAGTTCTCTTACCTAGAAATTTAATATTTATTTATTTGTATTTAAATTAAAATTAAAAGATTGCTGGGCCTCACTGAGAAAAACTCACATGGAGGCTCAGAGTTTTCTAGTTTACAACAAATTCTTATTATTATAATTATTATAGATATATATTAATTTTTTTTTTTTTCATAATAAATCACATAAATAATTTTTGTGAGTGTTGTTTAGTATGTTACCTATATACAATACTAGCTGATCCCCGTGCACTTATTCGTCATTTATAACCGGCAAGTCATGATCAAAATTTCCCGTGGATTTACCCTATCTTAATCTCAATAAAAGATTTTTAACAGTCATTTAAAATACAGAACTAAAAGCATCATATTATTTCATCGCATTTTTAGCTTTGTAAAGACAAAACAATTTTTAAAATTGGTACCTAATAACAAATTGATAATTTATTATTATCCATATTAAATTGTATAACCAATAGCAACCATATAATATACAAAAATATATTTATTAATATTGTTATTTCAATGAAAAATCTCAAATTTGCAATAAAAAAATTAAAGACAACTTATTAAGATAAAATATAGCCTATAGATTCATGGAATTATGTAGCTTTCTGTCAGTTAAATAGTTTCAGAGAATTAAACCGATTAGACTACCAATTTACTTCTTTGTATTATAAAACCCTTTAAGGGTTAGGGGTAGAATTTTTAAAAATCCTGTCTTAGGGGGTTTTCACATTATAAAACAAACTTACTGACACAATTCCATACTCATATATTCAGTGGTTCCGGCTAGGTGATTTTTTTCATTTTAACCTCAGTTAATTTGGATGTCAAGAGACTAATGGTTGTGGTGGCTCTTAAATATCAGGGAGAATCACTTTACCTGCAGCACAACAAATACACCATCCCATATGGTCCATCGCTTTAAATTTTTTTTTCAAAACACGGGCCGCCATATCATAAACAGGTGTACAGTTTACACACTTATTCTAATTTATTGTTATTAACTTTTTAATTAATGATTAACTTTATYGAATTTATGCCTATGGCACTCACAAAGAATGTGGTTTTCTATTGGTGAAAAAATTGATTCAGTAGTTCCAGAGATTACTCTCAACAACGTCAACTAACTAACAATTCCTCTTAATATAATAAAATATAGGTATAGATTTATCAGTGGAAGTAATACGAAAGCAGTTTCCGCTCCAGTCTTCGATATCAAGGGAAAAAAAAAGTATAGATTTACTACTAATAAAATATACAACTCACTAGATCTATACGCTTTGAAACTTTCAAAGTTAGCTGACTGCCTTGTACGTCTAATAAGAGGAGGTGTAGATGAAGGATCTGTGGATGATTTCTTACGAGTAGAATTTTTAGAGGTTCTATAAAAATTGGTTAATAATTAGTGATAGTTTAACATAAAATTTTATTTTTTATTTTTTCTTCTTACGTGGCCGGTGATGTAGATTTTGAGGGAGTTTCTGGTTTTTTAAAAACAAACTGTTCACTTGGTTGATCATTTTTTTTCTTGGCATTCTTTTTTAAGCTTGTTTTTTCCACTTCCATCTTTCCTTGTTCATCAATATCTTCAGTTTTTTCTATAACTATAATATAAATGGTAATAAAGAAAACATTATACATTTTATCATAGATTTATTTTTTCATATCTCTTACAATGATTCTAGTATGATTTACATACTATTTATATTTATAGAAAAGCCAACTTTTAGCTTTATTGTCGAGAAATGTGTAACGATCGAAATTGTAATTAATATTAATAATATTATAAACCATTATGCGATAGCACTCTCCGTCCCACGGTCCCCTCTGCTACCGCTCATAGGCAACACCGAGTTCAACACACACACACACACACACTGTCACGTATGCCTAGTACCCGTGGTTCGGATGACCGGCCGACACTGTATAATATTAACACCTCATTAACAGCATATAATAATATAAAAGTGTAAAGTACACCGGCCAAACATATTTTTAACTAAATTATGCAACAATAAATTATATAACGCTGTTCGGTGAACAACACGCCCGACAACGGCCATCTCTTGATTATTAATTTTTCTTTGCTTCAACGGGCAACATCATGGCAGAGTAGCAAAGAATAAAATCTGCGTCTTCGGACGACACTCAACGGTCCAGCAGTAAAGAAGATGGTAATATGATTTTGTTAACGTTGTACATACAACACACATACACCCACACCTTGGCCGATGAATTAATATTATTAATTGTTAAAATAGGTTTTGACACTTTTGGTGTCCTTTAATATTATG